CTCTCTCTCTCTCTCTCTCTCTCTCTCTCTCTCTCTCTCTCTCTCTCTCTCTCTCTCTCTCTCTCTCTCTCTCTCTCTCTTTCTCTCTCCCTCTCACGCGTGCGCGCGCAAAAGAGAGAGCGAGCGAGCGAGCGAGCGAGCGAGAGAGAGAGAGAGAGAGAGAGAGAGAGAGAGAGAGAGAGAGAGAGAGGGCGCCCGTGAGCTCATAGTAGTTTTTATCATGAGTGAGTACATATGACGTTGTCCGCCAGATACGTACATCCAATAACAAAAGTAAGTTTCACTGTGAGTGAGTGAGTGTATATGACTTTGCTCGTCATATGTATACATTTAAGTTTAAAAGTAGCCTTCATTGTCATTGAGTGAATATGACCTTGTTGTCAGATGTGTACATTAAAGCTAAATGTATTATTTATCGTGAGTGGGAGTATCTGACCTTGTCCGTCCAATATATACATTCGAGCTCGAAAATAACTTTCATCGTGAGTTAGTCGACCTTTGTTCATCAGATTTATACATTCAAGCTTAATATTGGTTGCTCACTTTGTTTTTCTTTTGTTTTTTTTTTCATAAAGAAGAATCTCCACTATTTTCGTTGTGACTCCCCGTGAGAGGCGGGGAGCAATTGATTGTCGATCAACAACTTTTTTCTTTTGTTCATGAATGGAAACAAAGACCTCGTTTGTACCTCATTTGTTGCATAAAGGTTTAGCAATATTGTTTCATGGGGTCGGTATCGTACCACCTTTTTTTTTCATACAGTGGTGTCGGACGCTTTCAAGTTCAATAAAAATTGGCGTGCATGACATTTTTGGGTTCGACATCAATAGTTGGGTGAAATACTGGTGGTTTAATAAATAGAGCTTATGAAATTTTCTAACTAAATAGTTTTGAATTACCTTAGACGGTCATTTCGAATGATAATAACCTAAGTCTATCGCCTTTTTAAAATTAGAGAAAATAAATAAACAAAGTTGGAGCCGCACATAACGAGACCTCAATAAGCTTCAACCTACAGGAACCAAGGAGGTTAAGAGGGTGCACGCATTTGTTCTACTCCAATCTTTTTTTTTTTACCTTGATATGTAAGATGCATAATATATAAAATAATAATTGAAAAGACGATATTCTTTTTTATACCAACTATGTTACCCATAAAGGTTTGTCAACAGGGTGTTTCGCCGATTTGGCGGTCGTCGTGATGAACTGTGGCGGAGAACAATGGACTTCATGTGTGATAGATAGCGAGGCTTGAGGCTTGGAGGAAGCGAACAGGGCGGTCTGTTGTTGGGTGGTAAGGTTCTGGAAAGTTTTGAACAGGGTCGTAGGTTAGTCTGTATTTTTTTATTTTTGAGCCTTGTTAGCACAGTCTTGTAAGGGAATGGTTTGTTGTGATTTGGTGTGTTGTACTTTTAGCTGGGTAGAAGGTACCATTGGGAGTGGCGGAAGCAGCCTGCGTTTTGTCCCGGTAGTGGTCAGAGATCGAGAGGCAAGGTTATGCTGAAGTTTTAGACTGGTCAGACTCAGTTTGAAATTTGTAGAAGGGTCTGGACCCGTGGACCAAGGGGTTTGGTTTGTTTTTTTCTTTTCTTTGTCTTTTTTCGAGTGTTTTCGCGAAGGGTTAGCCCTTGTCCACTGGAGATGGCCTAACCGGTACCTTTTGTCCTATAAGTACGTAGCTATCAGTTGGGTTTGACCTCTTGGGTTCCTTCGGTGACGGTTGACTGTGACGACGGCGGACCGTCACCAAGTGTGGTTGGCGGTATGACGGTGTCTTGGGTACGTTGGTTTGCGAAGTGGAAACCTACGGGTTACGTTACTATACTGTGTCTACGTGTCACTTCGGTGACTGTGTGCATTCGTCCATCGTGTTTTTTGCATGTTGTGATTGTATGTTTCACCATGATTGAACCATCAACACCATCCTATTGCATACGTGAACTTACCTGGGGAAGCCTACCGGGTTTAAGTGAGCGTTATTATCCGTGTACTACTTTGGTTTTGGAGCGACGAGCAGAGCACTGCGTTGTGTTTGACGGAGAGCGGACCGGGGCGCGGCGAACGAGGAAGACCAAGGAGGTTTTATCTACCTCATGTGAAGAAAATAGATTACCTGAAGACCAGAGATGTCGGGCACCGACCGTAGAGATCCTCGGGAATAAAGCTCGGATTGGCGTGATGATAGAGAACGGAGTTCGGACCGGCATGATGACAGTTGGAGACCACATAGGCCTCCCGTAACGTGCTTCAACTGCAATGAACAAGGGCACTATGCTAATCAGTGTCCCCTTCGTGAGCGGCGGCAGCTTTCAAGTCGTCCTTCCACGTCTTCTGACTCCCGAAGATCTCGATCTCCACGAAGATACGAGCTGAGAAGGAAACACTCACCAAGGAAGGAATCGGAACTACGTGAGAAGGTGGCCGAGCTCTCCAAAGGTGTTGCCTCGATCAAGGAGCACTTTGATGCGGTACAAGCTAAGAAGGACGAAAAAGCTCGACGCAAGATGGAAAGGGAGAAGGAGAAGGAGGAGGAGAAGCGGAGACTGGAGGAGGAAAAAGCCATGAGAGCTCAAGTAGAGGCACGTCGTGAAGCAAAGCTATGTAAGAAGGAGAAAAAGGCAAAGCAGGAGGCTACACTGCGAGCGAAGATGAAGAAGGATGTCACAGTGCATGCCTCGTTGCTCATGAGCGAGATAAAGGATGACTGGATTAACCAATGGAAGACAGTTGTGCTACCGGCCTTAGCAGGGGGAACGGGAGATGTGAAAGGAAAGAAGAAGGTGGTGTACCAGTTAGCAGAGGAGAGCGATTCTAATTACAACAGCAGTGATAGCGAGACTAGCGTCACACCGGAGTTGAGTGCGGAGACTCGCCGCTTGTGTATCAGTGAAAAGAGGAAGCGTGGTAAGGAAGCTATGCCGGAGAACAACCCATCCATGGAGTTACCACCGAAGAGAACTCCTCAGCGAGTGGGTGTCAAGATGGATAAAGCGGATCTTCGTATGACCCGGGCCAAATCGAAGCGAGGGGTCCGGACCCCGATCCCGGCGAAGAAGAAGACCCCAATCAAGACTCCGTTAATAAAGATGTTGAAGTCAGGACAGATAAAGACTCCACCGAGCGAGAGACTCACCCCGGCCGGACGGGCCTTGGCCCGCCTGCGGTATAGGGACTCGATTATGCATGAGTTGAAAGACTGTAATGCCGATGAGCTGCAGCGGTAATGTAAAGACGAAGGAATCCCGTATGTGGGGAAAGTCGACGCGATCTTTGATCTCGCCGAACATCGGGCTCAACAGCAATAAGCAGCCGCCCCACTTCAGATGGAAGTGATCCGAATCGCGGATTCGACCGATGTGGGCGATGAAGACTCCGCGGATACGCAGGGGTGAGGTGATATCACCCCAAAAGGTTGGTTAGATCTGTGCAGGTATCTCACCAGTGTATGATGCTACCAAGTTTATACCAATCGGAATTTGGAGCTGCTACTTCGTTTGGTTATGGTACTATTGATGTTGACGAAAAATGTCAAATGGCTGAGTAAGTACGAGGAAACGTGGATGAAATTGTATGCTACTTATGGTATTAAGTTTTTGAATTTGACCAGTATAGTGTACGTAGCTGTTTCTCCGTATTGTAAACTATGCTATGTGGGAAAAACGACACGTACAATCGATGTTAGGTGGCGGGAACACTTGTATGCAGTTAGCAAACGTATGCAGTCTCATTTTCATAGATGGATTTCCTCCTTTGGGACTGGTAATTACGTTCTCCTTCCTGTAGATACCTTTGGAGGGAAAGACTTGAGTAAGTTGGAGGAATTATCTATAAGCAGGTGGTCCCCGTTCCTTAATACCGTAGGGAGTAAGCATACGAAGAAGTGCGCGAAGAAGAAACGTGGACGCAGGGAGAGGAGTCGAGCCAAAGGAAGGCCTGCAGTCGATACATGTGGTAGGGTGGACCCTTTGTGTTTCCGTTGGACAGAGGAGTGCGACTTTCTCGACCTCTATGCCTTCCTTGAAGACTCCCTGAACTCGGGTAACCATCCAAGGGTCGTGTTATCGAAGGGAGGGAAGGATTGGTTACCAAAGTGGAAAAAGTTGGTGCGCATGTTTGGCGATAGCAAGATCAAAGTGGATTCAATCTGTCGACCTTTGAAGGAATGCAAAGTACTGTGGGAACAGGGGTGCGTTTTTTAGATTGTGCATGTGGTGAAGTGGAAGGCTAAATGTAAATTTTTAAAGCAATTTATGATTGGTATATTACGGAACCCCAGTAAACTGAAGGAGATGTATGGCTGGGGAATGAGAGCAGTTTTGAGGATTTACCGGGTGATCAAGGATTTTTCGAGAAAGTCGACCCGGAAGTACCTGCGGAGACTAATTTCCCGTTGTTTTCGTGAACGTTTTAATTTGAGCCTCGCTAGTGATCTTACGTTTCGCATCGAATTCGATGATTGTGTGGTTTTGTCTGAAGCAGGAAAGTTGCTAACAATATGCTGATGTGTTGTTAATTACCGCAATGTTTTTTATTTCCCGCGCGACGAAAAATTCGCATCGTAGGGATGAAAAATCCCACAATAGCTGAGATATTGCACAACCATAGAGAAGCATCTACTCATGGTGTGCTTACCTATGTTTGCGCAGGTTCTAATCTTCCGCGTGTGAATGGGCACGTGTTGTTCCGCCTGAGTGAGGTAGCGGGTGTGCACCCACTTTTGGTGAACTCTAACAACATCCCGAGAGTCGGGTGTGAAGACAGGCAACGACTTTTGCGGGAGGAATTGTATTCGGATTTTCGAACCTGGAGGAATGCGGGGTGCTACATCCCCGACAACTCTGACTTTGATTTTTCCACCTGTACCTCTGTACGAGATGTCCAGTCCTCCTGTGTGTCATTAGATGAGGTATATGCTTTGAAAGATCGCCTGAAAGGGTTGGTGATCGCCCCCGTGGATCGGAATTCCGGGGAATCCGTGGCCATGTGTCCAGGCACTTATTTTGATGCTATGATGAAGACTTTTGTGTGCAATCCCGGGTATAGAATTGTGAAGTATTCGGAGACACAAGCTTTGCGGGAGTTACGGGAAGATGTATGACGCCATGACTTGGGGAAGGTGGTGCAGTGGGAGGAGAATGGAACACTTGGTTCAACATACGTGATTCCAAAACAAAAGGACCTGAGTAGGTTCATGCCAATTTGTACTTCGTTTAATGAACCCATGGGACGTACAACACGCCTGATGAGTAAAGCTTTGAATCATTTGCTGTACAAATTGCCGAAGAAGTGACACTTTAACTTGCGTTCAGTTTCTGACCTGACGAACCGTTTGGGAGTCTTGAATAGTAAGCTAAGCCGGCTAGATGGTGAACGTGCAATCAGTTCTTATTCCTTCGATGTGAAGAAAATGTTCAGCAAACTTCCCCACGAGGTCTTGCTGAGTGCCATTGACTGGGTTATTGGGCACCATCATTCGAAGGGCTTTGAGTTTGTGAGGGTGAATACTCAAGGGAAAGGGGCTTCATTCGGAGTCACAACGGGAGCAGACCATTGGAAGTATTTGGACCTGTCGGACATTAGGAAGTTTGTACATCTGGAAGTGGAGCATACCTTTTGCTTTGCCACTGGTGTCCTTTTGAAACAGGTAGTGGGAGTACCCATGGGTAAGAGCATGAGTCCACCTATAGCCTGTATCATGTGTGCCTTTTCGGAGTATCAAATGATCTGTACGCTGGGACCTGCCAATCGCTGTTTTGGTGCCTTGAGGCTAATTAATGATGTTCTGCTTGTAATTTCGAGCAAAGATGAAGAGATGAGACAGACGATCTTCGAAGCTCTTACCCAATGCTATCCAAGTGATCTGACCCTGAAGAGGACAGATGACGGGACAAGAACCCTATAATTTCTTAGCTGTCAGGTAAAAACGGAGCAAGTTTTTCCGTTTATTGGGAGTATACAACTCTCCCGAAATGAGGATAGGATTTGGACTGAAGACAAACTGCTGATACAGAATGGACAATTATTTTACTTCTGGGGGAGTAAGAAACAGAAGAGTGTCGTAATTAGTGGGCATCTGAGCAGGATTAATCAGAACACTTCCATTCGAGCCGAGACTCCAGGTAAGGTGCTGGGTTTGCACCAAGAGTTTCTTAAGAAAGATTTCCCAAAAAGGTTTGTCAACAGGGTGTTTCACCGATTTGGCGATCGTCGTGATGAACTGTGGCGGAGAACAATGGACTTCGTGTGTGATAGATAGCGAGGCTTGGGGCTTGGAGGAAGCGAACAGGGTGGTCTGTTGTTGGGTGGTAAGGTTTTGGAAAGATTTGAACAAGGTCGTAGGTTAGTCTGTATTTTTTTATTTTTGAGCCTTGTTAGCACAGTCTTGTAATGGAATGGTTTATTGTGATTTGGTGTGTTGTACTTTTAGATGGGTAAAAGGTACCATTGGGAGTGGCGGAAGCAACCTGCGTTTTGTCCCGGTAGTAGTCAGAGATCGAGAGGCAAGGTTATGCTGAAGTTTTAGACTGGTCAGACTCAGTTTGAAATTTGTAGAAGGGTCTGGACCCGTGGACCAAGGGGTTTGGTTTGTTGTTTCCTTTTCTTTGTCTTTTTTCGAGTGTTTTCGCGAAGGGTTAGCCCTTGTCCACCCGGAGAGGGCCTAACTGATACCTTTTGTCCTATAAGTACGTAGCTATCAGTTTGGTTTAACCTCTTGGGTTCCTTCGGTGACGGTTGACTGTGACGACGGCGGACCGTCACCAAGGGTGGTTGGCGGTACGACGGTGTCTTGGGTGCGTTGGTTTACGAAGTGGAAACCTATGGGGTTACGTTACTATACTGTGTCTACGTGTCACTTTGGTGACTGTGTGCATTCGTCCATCGTGTTTTTTGCATGTTGTGATTGTATGTCTCACCATGATTGAACCATCAACACTATGTTACCAAAGACACAAAAATCTCAATCTTGAATCATTCATCTTATACCGTGGGTTTTTCATTATGTTAGTATTAAGGAGATTATTCAAGGCGTAATCTTATTCTCTCACGACAGATTCCTTATCTTGTTGTTTTAAGAATTATGATAAATTATTGATGGCAAGAGGGTAACAATTCGGCATAGCCCCGAAAGAGGGGAACCGTGAGTGGGAAAGGAAGAGGACACAAGGGGGAGAAGGAGAAAGGGGGGAAGGAGGACTAGAAAGGGATAAGAAACGAAAAAACGAGGATAAAAGGAAGAGAGAAAAAGGGTAAAATAACAAACTTTCATAAGAGCGACGAACAAAAATTCTCAAACGACCGGGGTAGCGAATATAAAAGAAGGATGAAAAATATCAAGTTAATAAATTTATTTTATTGGCAGTCCATTTGTTGTACCGTGTTCGTAATACATCAACAATAAACATATTTGATGGTATCACAATGGGCATTATAATGCGATTGAAGTGAAATGATGTGGAAGTCGTTAAAAAAATATACTAGTAGTAGATAAACGAAATCAATATTATACTAGGCTGCCAGAGTAGCCATGACCACTTACCCGACTAGACAATATATATATATATATATATATCCTCCCTCCCCCCCTCCTCCTCCCCCTTCCTCTTTTCCATCTTCTCACTCTCCTCCCCCTCCCCCTCTCGGTCCGTC